CAAGAACTTCAAGATGCTATAAACAAACTTCCATTGAGACATCCAATTGACGTCAAATTATATTGGAGAGCATCTGAGTTAGGTCAGAAGGTTTTATATGAAACAGGTTGCTTCGACGATGTTTATGAGATAACAGGAGAAGTTTCTCAGAAGATAAGAGACTCACTTGAATTTCCACAAACTGGACCAATTGGTTGCAACAAGTTCGACTCAGATGAAAAGATATACTATGTCGACCTTAACGCTGCATACATGAGGTTTGTCCAATATATTCCGACTGGAATTCCAAACGAAGATGGTGAGTTCCCGGGAAGGAACTATACAGTTGGAAAAGTCATACAACAACTGTATGATATTAGGAAAGCTTCAAACCCCAAACTTGCAATGACACTCAAATTGCTTATGAATTCGACATGGGGATATTCCATTAAGAAACCTCAAGAGATGAAGAGTAAACATTATGAGAAGGTCGACAACTTTGTTGAAAGGTTTTCTCCTTTTGTTTTGAAGTACGAATTCACTCAAGGTCAAAGTGGCTTAGTAACCACATTAAAACCTATTGTCGAACATTGGTCTTACCCTCAGTTCGCAAAGGCAGTCCTTGACAACTACAATGAGTTCTTCTCCGAAGTCAAATCCAAAGTCAAGGTTTACTATGAGAACATTGACGCACTCATGACGAACGAAGAAGGCTATAACAAACTCATTGAAATGGGAATGGTCGGTGAAAAGATGGGTCAATTCAAATTGGACAAAATTTTCACCGAAGTTCATGTCCTCTCCAAGCGTAAGTACTGGGGTGTTAAAGAAGATGGTGAAATAGTTAAACATTGCATGAAATAAAAAATTTTTATTCGAATTTGAATTTAAATGTGGGAATTCTTGGGAACGGGAAAGGCTTATTTACTTGAGGAACAGGTAAAGGTGGTGGAGGTGGTGGCAACCAGTCCATTTTATATTCCTTCCTAGCTAATTTCCGTTTAATTTCATGGTCGCCCTCGGAGTCTTTGAATCGGACAGGTCGAGTTACACCATTCTTGGTCTCAAACTCATATATAACCTGTTTGTCTGTATTTTCGTCGACTATGGCACGAGACACGAACATTGACCAAACGGACAAAAAGTGTCATTTCGGATGGTCAAGCAGCCAATCGCATTCGAGCACTTCGAAGAAGCCTTACGTTCCAAGGGAGAGGGTGTCTGGTGCAAGGCAGAGGTCATGAGACTCTACGAGCAGTACATCCTCAATGCCTGGGAGGACAAATCGTCCTTGAATTGGCAATTCTACCAACTCCTCTGGGACGACCTCCTACGCAACTGGGAAGATAACGAAAGAGCCCAATTCAAAGGTCGGGAGCTAATTTTCCAAATTACCATTAATAGTGCCTACTTATCCAACTAAACACTTAAATTTACTTGGGGTTTCCCCCTAAATATTTTTTTACTCTTAGAACCACTCGAGGTTCTCCTTACGGTTGTTGAGCTTGTCACCGTCAATGTGTCTGACCTTCGTCTTCTTGCCTGGATTTGGAACCCATTGAATTGCGACAAGCTTGCCCATGGAGTGTTGTGCATGAAAAATAGCGTGACTTCACTTTTGACAAAAAGTGACACTATTTCTGATGGTTTTGTCATTTATTTGTCAGATTTATAAATGGATAATAATGCTGTAAATCAGATATTAATTAAAAATATTTAAGATTTATGTTCGAATTGAAAAGCAAAATGATATTTTTTTAATTGAAAAACGTTAATATCTGATATTTTGAAGTTTTTAATATTTGTTAGTATCTTAAATTATTGAATGCATACATTTTTTATGTTCTCAATTTTAAAAAATTGTGAAGAATTTAGTTTTTTGGAGATGGATGTTTAATATTTGTGAGTGAGAATGCAAGCAGGAGTTTGGTACTTTAAGGCTAGGTTGAGATAGATTTCCCATTATATTATCTGTGAATATTTTGCTTGAAAATTCAAGATATAAAAATATATTATCAAAAAATTTTATATTTTTAAATACAATAGGGTGGAAATATAGTACGATGAGATAGCAATGATATATTTTATAATGGGAGGTAATCTGAAGATAAGTAGCAAATTTTATGCGATTTTGATTGGGAGTTGGAGGGTGTGAGTACTATAGCATGTAATAGTATCTCACACCCTCCAATTCTTCCTATGGCGCCGAAAAATTTTTGGTGAAATGCGACGACATTTCACCAAAAAATTTTCGGCGCCATATAGAGAACTATAGTCTGCGAGGTACTGATTCTATCTATGTACCTCGCAGACCATAGTTCTCAGCCAAAATGTCAAAAATTTCGGAAATTCGAAATAATTTTTTTTGAGAAAAAATTAACCGTTTAACATAATATTTATAATATTGCTTATTCAATTAGACGGATTAAAAATTATATGTTTTCTTTTTATTTTTTCAATTCAATTATTAGCTGACTCGAATTTGTATAAGTTTTTTAAAATAGATATCAAAAATTAAATATAAAAAAGAAAACAATTAAGAATATTAAAGTAAATTCTTTATTAAGAAACAATAAAATGAAAATATAAAACTTTGTATGATTTGAGTGGATATTGAGAGTAATTTGTGAGTGTGCTTCAGCTGCATATGTAAGATTGTTCGGATTTAATTAAAAATTGTAAATTTTTTGTCTTTATATCAAACTATTCGACAAAACTTTGTATGATTTGAGTGGATATTGAGAGTAATTTGTGAGTGTGCTTCGGCTGCATCCGCTAATTCCTTCTTCATTCTTAACATTCTTTGTTTTATTTAGAACTATATTATCTTATTTCTAAAAATAATACTGAATTTTTTAAAAAATCCAAATGTAATAAATGTAAGTGTTTATTCCTTAACTTCCTTTTTGTGATTTTTTGAATTTTCTTGTTTTTGAAATTATTTGTTAATCTCTAAGATTTTTTTCGAAGCCTGGTTCAGCGCAGAGATCTTTTGTCCATTTGGGGCCTCTTTCCCAGGCCTCAAATGGAGTCAATTTCTCCCCAAAGAGTTTGAATAATGCGGAGTGTTTCCATACCCTATTATACTGGGAAACAACATTGGGGATGAACTCAAAGACGTTCACTCCAGGGTTTGTCTTGAAAAGAGTCTCCCAACTCCTTTCAATTTTTCCATTTTCCTCTGGAGAGTACGGATGAGTTTTGAAATGTTTTATATTGAATTCTTGGCAAACCGCTTCAAAATCTTTTCCAATGAATTCTGTTCCATTATCTGTGAGAATTCCATGTGGAACTAATTTGACTAAATCAATTGCGTGACGAAATACTCTGGCAGTATTTTTCATTTCTTTTGTATCGAAAACATCCCAGCAAATAATGTATCTGCTTCTGTCATCAAGAAATGAAATTAAATATTGAAGGTTACCGTTATCGTCCTTCAGAAATTTCAAATCAGTATGCCACAATTGATTAACATATTGAGCAACGTATTCATGTGGATGTTCGTCGATTTTCTGATGCCTGTGAAATGTAAACAAATGTTGTTGATTGAAAATTTTGAAAGCATCGTTGAATGTAAATCTTTCGACTTTTTCGAAATATGATTCTTTGATCCTTTTGTATCCAATGTCATATTGTGCTTTAATTTCCAAAATTTTGTATACATCTTCCTCAAAAATTTTTTTCTTTGGTCTTCCTCTTTCTTTTATTGGATAGCCGAGTAGTACGAAAATTTTTTTCAAACGTTCTTTTCCTATTGAAAGTGTTTTTGCCGTATCTTCGAGAGTTACATTTGGATTATTAATGTATTCTTGATATTTTTCTTCAATTACGTTGAGAACCTGATCGGCGGGAACGGTTGGGAGTTGAAAAGTTTTAAGATCTTCTGGGTTTTCGAGACGAACCAAGATGTCTTCCATTTTTTAATTTGTAAATTTTTCAATTTTTCAAAAGATAATTTAAAAATACTAGTTATTTGATAAAATTTGTTTATTTTAAATAAAACAATTTTTTTGAAAAAATTATATTAATGATTTGAAGGCAAAAGCCAAAAACTTAATAGATAAAATGCTCTTTCTATATAGATCAACTTCTATTATTAAATTTATAAAAATGGAGAGATTTTGCAAATTATTTTCTAATATATTATATTTATAATCATTTTATTTATCCCATTAATAATTGTGAACCCAGAACATCTTCCCTTCAAAGTGCCAAGCATCAACACACATTCTCACTCACAAATTTTTAAAACTCATTGCCAAAAATTTAAAAAACTCACAATTTTTTTTAAATTGATAACCCTCAAACCGTTTCCAATCAATAATTTGAGAGTCTATATGATAATGTAAAAGTTAAAACATTCAAGTATTTAAGTATTTCTTTAAAATATTAAGTTTTTTATTTTTCCAATAAAATTCTAATATCAAATATTTTTATTTAACGATTAATTTTATTTATATTTTTATAGTTTTTTTAAGAAAAAATATTGTTAGGGTTTTATGGATTTTCAATTAATATACAAGATAATTCATGAATGTATATATTTCCAAGTTTTTAAGGATGCAACACTTTACATTTGTAAACTGTCAAAAATGAAGTCACGCTATTTTTCATGCATTACAGCTTTGGAGACAACAGATGGAAAAGTTTACTTCACTGACCAACAGTTCATTATAGAACATCTCATTGACTTAGAGTCGAAATATTCTAAACTTTACAACAAACACAAAAAGTTGAAAGGAAAACAAAAACAAATGGCATATGATATTTATGAAGATGTTGACGACACAACTGTTCCTGCAAGTGAAGTAAAGTCAGAGGAACCGAAAAGTGACGAAAAACCGATAGAAGAAGAGAAACCAAAAACTGAAGATAAACCAAAACCAAAGTTTAGTTTCCAAACTAAACCAAGTCAACCTTCATTAGCTGGTATGGGTTGGCGTCAAAGACTTATGGCAGCAGGCGGTTATGTAAAGTAAAAAAAAATATTTTTTTATTTTTATAAAAATGCCCCATATAGAATGGATAGAAAGTCTGCTAGAATAAAAGCAGAGTTACAAAGATATGGTTGGAGAGTTTCGAAGAATTTTAAATATAGGAAGGGAAGACCCATAAAAGTCTATGACAAATTGTCTGGTCTTCGCTACGAAATGGATTTGGAAACAGCACGTGCCAATTATCCAAACAGACTAGAGAGGTTAGAAGAAGAACGTCTTATGGACATGCCTTTCGATGTTAGTGAACCTCAAGTTGAAGGACACGACGGCTTTGCCAGATTCTACTGGAAACATGACGAACAATTGCATCCTTTGAGAAGGAAAAAAGGAAAAGGTGAAGACGCACATGCTCCCATGGAAAGAACAAGATATGCATATGAAAAGTATCGTGAAGTTAGAAGTCAAATTACATCTGGTCGAACCTTTACAGTAAACTTTGACGAAGGAAAGAACAAAGAAGGCTTCATGGGAGTACTTGCTGCAATTCAAGACGGAAATAAGAAAGGACACAATCTCAGATTGACCATAACAGATTTGGATGGTCACATTTACTATGCACATGGCAATGAACAAACAGCCGCAAAACTTCTTGACGCTTTCAAGACTACAAAGAGAGAACAAATGGTTGACTCCGACTCAGACATTTTGAATGCAATTGAAGGAATTGCAAGTGTCAAGTTCGAATGGTACCAACCTAACCCTCAAGCAGTCAGACAACATGCTGGATACTTCCCCTTCATAAATAAGTCTGACATTGACTTGACAAGGTATGGAATTTACAATTCAATTGAAACAATTGTCAATGAACCTTGCATTCTTACATGTCTCAGGAACTCTGGTCTTGTTACAGATGAGAAGATGAAGTATCTTGAGTCATGTGTGAAGACAAGGTACATTCTCAGAGGTCAATTGGCAAAAATTGCACCGTTGGCAAATGTCAATATCCGAGTCAACATACCTACAGCTAAAGGTTCTTCACTGACGACTATGTTGTTGACAAAGACTTACCATGGTTGAAGATTGTAATTGTCCACAACCACTTCATGTTGAACGAAAGTCTTACAAACCCATTCTTTTGGTAAAAGTAAGTGCAACATTGTCAAGAGCTGTCAAATTCTTTTCAAGAAAGGTTTGTTGGAACCAATTCCAGATGACAAGCTGACAGAAAACTTTTGTACCAAAAGACGAAACAAACTTTTCATTGTTAGCAAGACCAAAAGTTGTTCCAGACAAAGTTCTAGTACAAAGAAGTACACGGTTCCAAAGGGTGTTTAATGTTTCGAGATACCAACCTGAACCAGAAGAACTTCCAATGAGGTTGCAAGAACTTCAAGATGCTATAAACAAACTTCCATTGAGACATCCAATTGACGTCAAATTATATTGGAGAGCATCTGAGTTAGGTCAGAAGGTTTTATATGAAACAGGTTGCTTCGACGATGTTTATGAGATAACAGGAGAAGTTTCTCAGAAGATAAGAGACTCACTTGAATTTCCACAAACTGGACCAATTGGTTGCAACAAGTTCGACTCAGATGAAAAATATATACTATGTCGACCTTAACGCTGCATACATGAGGTTTGTCCAATATATTCCGACTGGAATTCCAAACGAAGATGGTGAGTTCCCGGGAAGGAACTATACAGTTGGAAAAGTCATACAACAACTGTATGATATTAGGAAAGCTTCAAACCCCAAACTTGCAATGACACTCAAATTGCTTATGAATTCGACATGGGGATATTCCATTAAGAAACCTCAAGAGATGAAGAGTAAACATTATGAGAAGGTCGACAACTTTGTTGAAAGGTTTTCTCCTTTTTTTTGAAAGTACGAATTCACTCAAGGTCAAAGTGGCTTAGTAACCACATTAAAACCTATTGTCGAACATTGGTCTTACCCTCAGTTCGCAAAGGCAGTCCTTGACAACTACAATGAGTTCTTCTCCGAAGTCAAATCCAAAGTCAAGGTTTACTATGAGAACATTGACGCACTCATGACGAACGAAGAAGGCTATAACAAACTCATTGAAATGGGAATGGTCGGTGAAAAGATGGGTCAATTCAAATTGGACAAAATTTTCACCGAAGTTCATGTCCTCTCCAAGCGTAAGTACTGGGGTGTTAAAGAAGATGGTGAAATAGTTAAACATTGCATGAAATAAAAAATTTTTATTCGAATTTGAATTTAAATGTGGGAATTCTTGGGAACGGGAAAGGCTTATTTACTTGAGGAACAGGTAAAGGTGGTGGAGGTGGTGGCAACCAGTCCATTTTTATATTCCTTCCTAGCTAATTTCCGTTTAATTTCATGGTCGCCCTCGGAGTCTTTGAATCGGACAGGTCGAGTTACACCATTCTTGGTCTCAAACTCATATATAACCTGTTTGTCTGTATTTTCGTCGACTATGGCACGAGACACGAACATTGACCAAACGGACAAAAAGTGTCATTTCGGATGGTCAAGCAGCCAATCGCATTCGAGCACTTCGAAGAAGCCTTACGTTCCAAGGGAGAGGGTGTCTGGTGCAAGGCAGAGGTCATGAGACTCTACGAGCAGTACATCCTCAATGCCTGGGAGGACAAATCGTCCTTGAATTGGCAATTCTACCAACTCCTCTGGGACGACCTCCTACGCAACTGGGAAGATAACGAAAGAGCCCAATTCAAAGGTCGGGAGCTAATTTTCCAAATTACCATTAATAGTGCCTACTTATCCAACTAAACACTTAAATTTACTTGGGGTTTCCCCCTAAAATATTTTTTTACTCTTAGAACCACTCGAGGTTCTCCTTACGGTTGTTGAGCTTGTCACCGTCAATGTGTCTGACCTTCGTCTTCTTGCCTGGATTTGGAACCCATTGAATTGCGACAAGCTTGCCCATGGAGTGTTGTGCATGAAAAATAGCGTGACTTCACTTTTGACAGAAAGTGACACTATTTCTGATGTTTTTGTCATTTATTTGTCAGATTTATAAATGGATAATAATGCTGTAAATCAGATATTAATTAAAAATATTTAAGATTTATGTTCGAATTGAAAAGCAAAATGATATTTTTTTTAATTGAAAAACGTTAATATCTGATATTTTGAAGTTTTTAATATTTGTTAGTATCTTAAATTATTGAATGCATACATTTTTTATGTTCTCCATTTTTAAAAAAAATGTGAAGAATTTAGTTTTTTGGAGATGGATGTTTAATATTTGTGAGTGAGAATGCAAGCAGGAGTTTGGTACTTTAAGGCTAGGTTGAGATAGATTTCCCATTATATTATCTGTGAATATTTTGCTTGAAAATTCAAGATATAAAAATATATTATCAAAAAATTTTATATTTTTAAATACAATAGGGTGGAAATATAGTACGATGATATAGCAATGATATATTTTTATAATGGGAGGTAATCTGAAGATAAGTAGCAAATTTTATGCGATTTTGATTGGGAGTTGGAGGGTGTGAGTACTATAGCATGTAATAGTATCTCACACCCTCCAATTCTTCCTATGGCGCCGAAAAAATTTTTGGTGAAATGCGACGAACATTTCACCAAAAAATTTTCGGCGCCATATAGAGAACTATAGTCTGCGAGGTACTGATTCTATCTATGTACCTCGCAGACCATAGTTCTCAGCCAAAAATGTCAAAAATTTCGGAAATTCGAAATAATTTTTTTTGAGAAAAAATTAACCGTTTAACATAATAATATTATATATTGCTTATTCAATTAGACGGATTAAAAATTATATGTTTTCTTTTTATTTTTTCAATTCAATTATTAGCTGACTCGAATTTGTATAAGTTTTTAAAAATAGATATCAAAAATTAAATATAAAAAGAAAACAATTAAGAAATTAAAGTAAATTCTTTATTAAGAAACAATAAAAAATGAAAATATAAAACTTTGTATGATTTGAGTGGATATGAGAGTAATTTGTGAGTGTGCTTCAGCTGCATATGTAAGATTGTTCGGATTTAATTAAAAATTGTAAATTTTTTGTCTTTATATCAAACTATTCGACAAAACTTTGTATGATTTGAGTGGATATTGAGAGTAATTTGTGAGTGTGCTTCAGCTGCATATGTAGATTGTTCGGATTTAAATTAAAAATTGTAAAATTTTTTGTCTTTATATCAAACTATTCGACAAAACTTTGTATGATTTGAGTGGATATTGAGAGTAATTTGTGAGTGTGCTTCAGCTGCATATGTAAGATTGTTCGGATTTAATTAAAAATTGTAAATTTTTTGTCTTTATATCAAACTATTCGACAAAACTTTGTATGATTTGAGTGGATATTGAGAGTAATTTGTGAGCGTGCTTCGGCTGCATCCGCTAATTCCTTCTTCATTCTTTTTCAGAACACAGCATTCGATTTCAGGGTCGAGATAGTCAATGACACATTGTTTCCCTGTTATTTGTGAGATAACATTTTCAAGGTCCTCCTTTGTTAGAATTATTTGGTTCTTGCTTATAAGATTTGTCAAAAGCTTCTTATCGTCTTTGAGTAAGATAGTTTGGTATAACTGAAGAAGGTAATGGTCTACGTTATCTGAAGGATTTGTTTGAACATTTGTGTAAGGATTGTCGTTGGCTTCTCTTGAAAGAATTTGGTCCAGTGGTGGATACTCTAACTTAACATCTGATGTAGCGTTAGCGTTTGAAGCTGAGTTTAAATTCACCGACTTAAGTTCTGGTTCTTTTTCTTTCAAACACTCTGAACTATAGTTCTTTATGACAATATTGTTTGTCGTTCGTGAGTCAACATTTGATGTTGGTTCAATTGGAACATTAACGGCACCAGCTAAGATGGATTTGCTTCTCATTTCATTAGAATAAAACCTTTTATATTATGAAATGAACAATATACTCGACAAGGGTTTGAATGCAAAGCTAACGAATGAAAATATTGTTGAATTCACTGAGACAGGAGCTGTGTATAAAGATGTAGAACTACTGAACAAAAGAGCTAAGGGAAGAAGCAGGAACATGAACAAAGGGTGGAAGCCTATAAAAATTTATGTCAATGATGGCTCAGGAGGTTCAAACATAAAGTATGCAGAAAGTTATAGAGTTTATGCTCTCAAAGGTGAAAAGCCTTCATTTAAGAACAGCTATTCTAACGCATATCCTCAAAAGCTAACGGATGGGGAAGTGGATGATATGAATGACAGCAAAAATATTAACAGAAATGGCGACAGAGATGCATGGAATTTGTTTACCATCAGTCAATTGAAGGTTAAACTTTAAAACAATGTTGGTCGTTCCCATGGAATATTTTTTGACTTTAATGGTATTAGTCATGATATGAATCTCAAGGTATGAACGAGGAAGATGAGAGACTTATATGCTTCCAAATTTCTTCAAAAGGTAATGTTATACCTGACTGTTTCCAAATGAGTTCAATATCATAGCGTGAGAAACCTTGAAAGATAACGAAGTCAGTTATGAGACGTTTTATGTTTAAAGCTAAAAACCTCCATGTTTGCATAAGTATTGCTACAGTTAAATGGTAATGTCTGACTTTAGTAATGATGTTAGCTAATGGTGAGTCAGGCTTTGAAACTAAACCTTTACCAGCGAAGTCGTCGCAAACTAATAAAGTGTTTGATGGATATTTTTTGAAGGGGTATTTTGAAAGTTTTGACAGAATGTAGTTTGTAAGTCGTTTCATATCGTAAACTCCTGAGTATTGACGTAAGTGGTGTTTGTCAATAATTCTTTCCATCTCCTCAGAAGTCTTTTGCATTCCTGACTGTATAAATTCAACGATGGCATAATATTTTCTCTTACGTCGAATGTAACGTTGAAGAAATTCAATGAGTTCACTGTCTGGAACTTTAACGACAGAGGCTTGAACTTTTGACATAAATGTTTTCGCTGTTGAATCCATAGAGTCTGAAGTTGCTGATATAATGATTTGGTCATAATATGAATCTTGACCTAAACGCTCTGTTATGAGTATATGACGAATGAGGTTAAATGTCTTACCTGAACCCATCTTTCCACAATAGAAATAAACACCATTTGAACAGAACTCATAGTCCTTACTGAAAGGAAGAATAAGAGAAGAGTTAAGTTTGTCTGTAGTTTCATTCATGTCTTCATCTACGTCATGTATTAAATGCTTCATTTTATCTCCATTAAAAATGCAAGTCAGAAATATTCAGAACATAACACCGAGTCTAACTGACAAGAGTATAAAGATATACTATGAACATGTTATGATGAAACCAACCAAAATTCAAGAAAGTCAGTATACTTATGAATATCCAAGACACTGGGTAGAGTATGTAGGAGGTGAGAAAGCTATTGAAATAAGACAGGTTCGAAGTATTCCAGCAGGAAGAACAATATTATTGAAGAACTTTAATGTTTTGAGGTATAATGATGAAACAAAGAAGCAAGATAGTTTCCCTGTTGCTGTGTATGTGAACTTAGATACAGGAGATGACATGAAAGTTTTTAATACAAAGCTTCAAACGGTAGTGAGAGAACAACTGACTGCGGAAGGACATCCATTACCTTCAGAAGTTACCATAGCATATAATTTTGAAAAAAACTCAATAGATTTTAAAGTCGTCTCTGCAAAGAAGTCAGGTTTTACATTTAATGAAGCAGATGTATATTCGAATGAAAACTTCAAAGCTATTGCGTGGTTAGATAATGACGATTGCTTTAAGAAAATATTTAAATACAGTGACTCAACGATGTCAATAGATGACCTTCGTGGAATGTTACCATCGACGTTTACAGTTGAAGGTTCAGCAGGATTGCTTACAAGTTTTTCAATTGGTGGCATTTGGTCTCGTGAGAACATTGTTATAAAATCCAGTATAAGTGAATTTGCTGAAGAATCTATATTATGTCTTTCAAACTACATGTATTCGCCGCCGAAGCATTATAGTATAACAAACTTTGTCAGTAAGTTTAACATAAGACTTGTCGAACCTTCTTCAATGAAAGATGTTGTGCTACCTAAAGATGGAAAGGATGGACTCATTATTGAAATGATTTTAATTGCATATTAAATGAGCTTGTTCTTGAAGGTCATTCATGATGAAATAACTGTTGTAGAAGATGTTAGCAATTGTTCAGACATTTTGAAGCGTATAGATGATATAAGAAAGAAGTTTATGAATGAGAACGTTTATGTTTCATTGACTTTCTCCAGTAATGAGAACTTTTATGAGATAATGTTGAAGAGAGATGATTTTAATATGGTGTAAATGGTAGCTTGGGCAGCTTTAGGCGCAATGGGAACAAAAGCATTAGCATTTGGAGCAAAAGCACTTGGAGCTTATGACGCAGTAAATAAAATGAGTGGAGGAAGGTTTCGAAGACATTAGAGCAAATAAAGGGAAGATTGGAGGCTGGGTTGCAAAGAAGTTAAGATTAAATAAAATAGGGCTCATAAATAAAGCATCCAATTTGGTTGCGACTGAGTCAGAAAATGCTTTAGGAAAGGACGATGAGTTTGCAAAACACGCAAAAGACTTTAATGACCAGATGAAAGGTGAAACAATGCATTTAAATAGATTCGATGGAACTAAAGAAAATGTTTCTTCTCCACCAGTAGTTCTTCCGTATGGTCCCTATGGAATGTATGGAAACCCTTACGAAAGACCATTTGACCCATTGACTGGTGGAAGTAACTGGTATCATTACGGCCGAAGAAGAAAGACAGTCAAGTTGGAGACAGACGTGAAGAAAGCAACTAAAAAGAAACCAAGGAAGAGAGTTATAAAGCAATGAATTCAACAGGGTGAAAAACAGGTGAAAAAAGAGGTGAAATCTCACCTCTTCACCTAAATTTATTTTTGTGCTATGTTTTCATACGTGTGAGGGTGGTGATATTATTAATTTTTAAGTTTATTTTTTTATTTTATTTTTTTATTTTATTTTTTATTTTATTTTTATATAAATGACGAAAACTATTGAGATAACAAACTACAACGGTCATGAGTTCAAGAATTTGTTCTTCGTTCCTCGTGAAAATACATTCTATCAGATACGAGGGAGAAAGGGTAAAGTTAGTTTGAGCGTTTATGACTACAAGCATAATGGAAAGTTTATACAAGCATATGATACAAACGGTAAGCGTGTTTCATTAGCTTTGTCAAAACTTACAGGTATAAACTATGACAGTGATTTTGACCTATATGAAGAAGAAAGTGAGTCAGAAGATTATGAGCTGTTATATGAAGCACAGCAATGGGAGGAGTTGCAATACTTTTGTAAGTGAGAACGTTTATTTTTTACATTAGTGAGGTGAAGTGGTTGGCGGCTTTGTAAATATTTAAGGTTAAGTTAGTGTTGTCGTTTGTATTGTAAAATATACGTTAACGGTTTTGTAAAGTGTCAAATTCACATATAATGGGTAAGGAGGCGCGCAGTGCCTCCGTACACTTGATAGGTGTATTAATTAAAATCTCAGTTTATTCTTCAAGGTTTAGGTGAATTAGAAGTTAAAAGTGGACCTAAACCAAAGACAATTACAATCCAAGATGCATAGATTGTAATCAATATATAACATATACCTGCAGTCAAACTAAGCAGTGGGAAAGGGTTCGACTGTAAGGATATGATATATCTTACTATAAAGTTAGAGATATTTTTAAAGAAAATCATTATTCAGAACCAAAACATCCACGTGTTGGTCCAGAAACTACAATACATTACTTAGCGCTATCACCTAACCTTATCTGGCACGCATATGTGCATTATTTTCGCCATTTGTCATCTCAGCCAATTTATGGCGTAATAGACGACTTTAGTCCCAAAATTGTCGCCATTGAGCTTATCCCGAACATGCAAGCAGCAACTATAGCGACTGTTGCAGCTCAGGCTTTTGCGCAATTCGGTCCCCCTTACTGTTTCTGGACCGATAATGGTTCAGAAAACAGGGGGACTTTATAAGACATGAAAGTAACTATTTATCTTACCATTTTTTTGAAATTAGAAAAATAAAGTCTAAATATTTGTTGTTTATTAGTATTTTCTGGTTTTTAAAAAAGTTTGGAGATTCCTTAATTGATGAAATGATAAGGTAATATGAATTGACTAAATATGGAAATGATACAGTGAATAAGAAGATAGATAGAAAAATCAAATATGAAATAACTAAGATAAAGACGAGAGCGTTTAGTATAGAGTATTTAAGAATAGAAACAAGTGGTTTTAAGTAAAATTTAGATTAGTGAAGAAGAAATATGGTAAGAAATTAAGAAAATAAAAACTTTTTTAGTGTATTTTAAATAGAATAACTATATGAAATATAGTTAAATGTTGAAATGAATAAAAATATTCTTTTTCGTTTTATTTTTTTATTTTTTTTTGTATTCGATCATTTTTTTAAATAAAATTTCAAGGAGTTCGAGCTTTAAAACATAACCTAGAAGTTTCTTTTTACGAGGACTTTATTTGCCTCTTTAAGTTTTTTTCTTGCTCTTTTTTGTATTCGATCTTTTCACTCATTCTACACCATCCCATTAATTAAAAAAGTCACACAATAATTTCAATAGGATCTCTCAAATTTATAATTTATCTAAAATGGAAAATTAAGATGTAAATATAATTACAAGCTTATATAACATATATTTTTTGAGATTATTATTTGGGTGACATTGAATATTTGTGTGAGCTTTATCAAATATATTAAAAATATACCTCAAAATTTGATTTTAACAAAAAATATATCTCGGCTTTTTCTAGTGATTGAATAAAAAGTGACAGAAAATTTTTAATGGCGAGAGGCATGCTTTAATTTAGGGTTAATCTTTAATAATATACCTGATTCATTTAAGTCCCTAGCTCCACATTTGAA